CCCCACCTGCATGTGTGGGAGTCGCGATATTCGAAACACACTTTCGACCGGCGTTTGGCGTCCCCATCCGCGGAGCGGGAGTCCCCCCGCCGTCGCTTACCCCCACTCGATCCAGAAGAACCTCCACCACCCACAGTCCCGAACATCCGTAGCGCAATGCTCCCGGACATGGAGAAGCCGTTGATGCCATCGAACCGAGGAACCGGCGGGGGGCCAAAGCGCTCGAAAGACTCCGGCGGCACCGGCAAATTCTGCATCGGTAACATCCACAACATTACCGCATTTGCCCATTCCCGAAAATCGTCGTTAGGGAGGTCGGCGAAGGTCCCCCGCGACCCCCTCCCCTGAAAATCGCCCATATGGCGGAGGGCTTGCATTCGCAGCGTACCCCGCGCCGAAAGCATGGCCTGCTCCATGGGCAGCAAGCGCGCCAGAGCTGCAGCGTTGTCCGCGGAGGTGGCAGAGAGACCAAATTTCAACACGTTAACGATCGCAGCACAGGTCAAATCGAAGTGGTCCGGGACTGACAGCTCACCAGAATTGCCAACGGGAAAGAAGTCGAGGACGTTCAGTCCGGACATGGTCCGAAGCTGCTGCAAGGTCTTGTCGGTGCCGGTAACGGTCCCCCCCATCATTGTTTGCAGGGTCTCTTTGTTGGGAACGTCAATTCCCCGCTTACCACGCAGCGCCCACATCAAACGTTCCGCAAGCCAAGCGGAAGCAGTACTCTCGAATTCCGCTTTTGCGAAGCGACGCTGGCGATCAGCGTCCGACCCCGGAGCAGCAGCTGCACCAAGACCCGCACCGACCGCCACCGCGGCTCCCGCGCCATCAGCAGCATGCGGGCCGACCACGTGCGAACCCGCGCCCCTCCTTGGTTGTTCAGCAACTGCTGCGGGGATTGCTCCAAAGCCGATACTTTCGCAACGAGATTCTCGTTATCTTGCTGCAACATCACAAGCTGCAACGCACCCGGCGCCCCCGACGCCGCACCGGCACCCAGGTTGTTCCCCCCGGCCATCGCAGACGACCCACCGAGGCCCTCCACGGATAAACCAGCCATGCCGTCGGCCAGCCGTGCCTCATCCCCGCCGACCGCCGACCCCGCCGCGGCTGCGGCCCCAGCTGCCGCTTCTTGCTGCTGACGTTGAAGTTGCTGCGTCTGCTGCTGCTGCTGCCGCTGCTATTGCGGCTGCTGCTGCGGCGGCTGCTGTTGCTGCGGCGGAGGGTTCTGCTGGTCCTGCTGGGCTGCCAATGCCATTGCGGCAGCCACGCCCGCCACAGTGGCGGAGGGAGGGACACCGCCACCACCGCTGCTGTCGCCGCCGTCGGCGATCGAGGCATCCACCGACGTACGGATCCCGTCGGCAGGCCCTTTTCCGAGATTTGGATGCGAATCCATGTCGCCCCGAAAACAGGGGAAACGTAGACGCGAAACTTCTCCAGTCCAATACGTCACGCCACGAAACGTCACGTGCCGAAAAGAAACGTCACGGCAGAAAGCAACCCTTGGCCACCACACGCACCAGTGGTCTCGCTCGCCCCCGGTAAAGATGGCGAAGCGAGTAGACTGAAAACAGTAACCAACACGCTCGTCCGCTTCCTGCTTTCTGATTGGCCAAGGTTTATTTCTGCCGCTTCTCACAAAACGCAGATTTCCCTTACTTCGTCAGTCTCATTCAATCTTTCGCCTGCAGCACCGAGCACGACGATTCCGTTTCTGGTCTCTGTCTTCTGTTCCGAAAGCATGTGTTTTTCTGTTCGTGTCGGCGGTTGTATTAGGGAATACAAACACAGAACGACTACACATTCGAGATATGTAGATGGACGACGCCGAGTAGACGCTGTTCTTCAGGCGAAGCCTCGGACAAACTTTGTGCTTGCTAATGTTTAAGAACTCCAGGGCCATGAAGCTCGTATATTTTTTGTCCCTAAAAGCAATCAGCGGGCTGTGCGAGCTGGGTTGCCCGCACGTCCGCACGCAGCTTATTGTTGTTGGTTTCGTGGGTTTGGATCTTCAAGACCAAACAATTCTGGCGAGACTTCGGACTTGGCCTGCGCGCCGGTGCCGCCTAGCTTGTATTTTTGCGTAAGAGAAAGAGTCAAACCGGAGATAAACTGCAATGTGCTTTGCGAGTACAGTAGTATACCGCAGTAAAGCAGTATTCCTTCCTGTGAGGATGTGGCTTTACTTGTTTCTCGGGCTGTCTCAATAAACTGGCTTTAATTAACTCAAATCATGATGTCGGACACCACCATGGTTGCGTGTATTAATATTTATTCATGTACACAACAAAGCGAAGCCTCGGACAAACTTTGTGCTTGCGGAAGTTTAGGAACTCCGCATGAAACGGGGCCATGAAACTCGTATGTATATATATAGAGACAAAAGCAATCAGCGGGCTGTGTGCGAGCTGGGTTGTCCGCACGTCCGTCCGCACACAGCTTGTTGTTGTTGTTGGTTTGTTGGGTTTGGATCTTGAAAACCAAACGATTCTTGTAAGACTTCGGACGTGGCCTGCCCGCCGGAGCCTTACTTAGCTTTTATTTTTTCGTAAGAGAAAGAGTCAAACCGGAGATAAACTGCTCTGTGCTTTGCGACGACAACAGTAGTACCGCAGTAAAGCAGTATTCCTTCCTGTGAGGATGTGCCCTTTCTTGTTTTCTCGGGGTGTCTCAATAAACTGGCTTTCTAATCAACCCAACTCGTGATGTCAGACGCCACCGATGTGCTCTTCTGGTTCGGCAAGCTGGCTTGCTTGGTTGTGTGTTTATGTATGTTCATGTAGGCATGCATCACAGATGTGTACACACGCTCGGTGATCGCAAAGAATAAGAATTCTCACATGGGTCCTGGTGTTCAGCCGGATACACTCTTTCTATCTTCACTGGTTTACTGCGCCACGTTCATGGTTTTCTCTGTTGTGGTGCCAGCGTCCACCAGAGAGTTACGGGCTGCTTCGTCAACAACCCGCACACTATTTTCGTTACGCAAAACTCCTTGGGGCGGTACTGCGGTACCTGGAGGCCAGCCAGCCAGCCAGCCCGCCGGTCGTCGGAACGAAAAATATATCGAAAGACTATTCCGAGGGGCAGATTTTTCCAGGCAAGTTCATCCGCTATATTTGAACCTTTGAAAGAGTAGAGATCTTTAGTGTGAATTCTCAGTTGTCAAGTTGTCACATCAAACCAGACAGCGGGGGACGGAACATCACCACCCAGCATATGATAGATACAAACCGCCGCGCCGACAACAACAAACACACACCTCGCCCCTGCCGGTTTGTTTGGGACCTTGATCTACAATATATCTACAGCACCGTCGAAGTGATAGCGGTCTCGCTGCGAGGAGGAGAGCAGTCGGCGGAATCGAAGAAGAGCGATGCGGTTGCTGAGATGGCGCTGCGCTCTTTTGATCGCGACGCTGGCCGCCAGCAATCTCGTCAGCCCAGCAAATAGTCAAGACTCATCTCCCACTTCGGCTGGCGACGACGTCGAGGACACCGGCAGCAGCCTGGACCCAGCCCCGGAGCCAACGCCTGCCGTTGCAGAGATAGACGCTTCCGATGACCCCCCTTCAGATACTCCAAGCCCTGTAGAGGAGGAGGAAGAGGAAGAGGACGAGCCTACCCCGAGTCCGGTCGAGGAGGAGCAAGATACCCTGGCTCCTGTGGAAAATGAGTCTGTCGACACACCCGCACCTTCGGCAGCGGAGGAGGACGCACCCGAGACTCCAGCCCCGGTGGTGAGTCAGAGGTTTACGGGCTTGCTGGACATGCACGTCAGCCTCTTTTCGTGATCGGACGGACGTTGCATTATTCATTTCGTTGATCGGTGTATTCTACACAGGGCCACGCTCGCTCACGATCCCTCAACTGCGGCGGCGAATGCTCTCTGTACATGATCCTTTTCGGGGAAGTTGACGAGCCAAACAAATGGATGGTTAGTCTGAGATTGATGTCCACGGGTTCCTTTTCACTCACGCAACAAACACCCGGTTCCTCGCGAACAAGCGCACGGTCCTTCGATCTGCTTCAAGTGCACAGCAGTGCTGCTGGGTCAGGGATGGATGCAAGCAATAACGGATTGTATGCAGACGGCAGCCCATGTAGACTACCTGTGATGGCCCAGCAATCAACCCTCAAAATGGGCACAAGGGAAATACCGATAGTCTAAATACAGAAGTCTATGCGCCCGAGGGGATCCGAGGTTGCGTGAAATCAGTTACCAGGAAGGGAATAGAGACCTCTATCGCTCCTTCCATCTTTCTCCCTTGCTAGGTATTCATATATATCCCCCGCCCCAAGGCGACCCCCGGAGTTGTTTCTGACGAAGGAAACAAAAATGGGAACGGGAACGCGGATCACACGATTTAGAGCCAATTGCCATTTGGCGCATCCTCTCTCGGGAAACGCGCCGAGCGGGTGAACTTATTTACTTGGATGGTAGCTGAGAGAGAGAGGCAGTCAGGCAGGTGATCGCCATCTTTTGCTACCGACAGCGGTAGGCACGCTTTGGGTATTTGCTGCCGTAGTGTCCATGCGGGCGCACCAACATCCAGTAGTAGTTAGGAAATGGGTCACCATTCATCAAAAGTAAGGAGGACGCATTTGTCAGTCTTGTGTGTATCGCCTGCACTTGCACTGACTGGGCAGTTCATAAGGAGGCGTTCGCGTTGTGCCACGACCTATTCTATCCAAGTTTAATTTTCCTCGCGTTTTGGTATTATTTGCACGAGAGAGGAACAACGGGTATCTCACACAGACAGGCGCTCGCTCACGCATGCATGCACTGGCATGATGAGCGCGACTTCACCTGCCCGGCAAGTTCGATGGTGAATGAAGCAAATGTGATCACCGAGAATAGTCTATTGGAGATGCTTCCAGAACACTGCTCTAGCGGTGATATTCGCACAATCGGATGTCACTGCCGCTGCTGCTGCGGAATCTCACCAATCCAATCTGTTGCCAACGAGACGCGGACGTGCAGCTTATTGGGCGCACCAGCCGGAGTCGCGCAGAATGGTACATACATACATTTCGTTGCCTTGATGTGCATTGAACTACTCTGTAGTAATGCCGCAGATTCATCTTCGGAATACGGCCATGTTTTTGTGCAATCAGGCGCGCAACATGACATTTACGAACATAATTTTCTATGTTGGTGTGCCCGTAAGCCTCTCCACGTACAATGTGCGTCCACGCCAGCAGGGATCTCACCACTCATCACTACGCGTTACACGCGGCACACACTCCACGGACGACGGCGTAACATGATAAGACAGCAGCAGTATTGTGGTAAAATGTAGGCCACAGCATTTATTCTTTCATTCTCTCTTGTTTGTGCAGTCGGTTTGCTTCTTCTCTCGACGGGATGTTGAATGAAGTAGACGGTCTCGGTTTTTGGTGTCTTGTGTTCGAGAACCCACCGCGGTGTTGGTCGTATGGACAAGGAGGCGCTAGATGCTGGCGGCAGGTCAATCGGGTGTGCACAGCTTGCCGACATTTTTTGACTCCGCCGGAACGTCCGAGCTTCCTTGGGGGGCAGACAAAACCATCAAGTAGCCCGAACAAAAACAAACGTTGAGTGAAGCCGAGGCGGCATGATTCAAATGTTGTTTCGGCTGTTGTAGTACTTACTGGAAATGAACATTGTTCCACTACACACGCCTACACTTAGGTCTCACATCCGGAGAAATGACGTTGACTCCCCGATCGTACTCGGTGACAGGGTCCGAGATCATGGCCGAGAGAAGCATTTTGTGTTTCCCAACGCGCTGAGACTGACGTCTTTTCCATGGTCAGCCGGTTAGCAGTGCGTTGGATGCTACTAAGAAAGACACACACACACAACCAACGTTCAGTACACACACGCCCGCGGCAAAATGTCTTCAGTTTGTCGTGTTTCTGGAATGATTACTCCACACACACATGACCAACGTCTCGGTAAACACGCCCGCCGTATGATGAACGGTTCATGTATGCCTTTGCAAGTCCGAAATCCAAGAAAACAATCCGAAGTATGACCCATCAAACAACCGTTGACTGGTATGATTGTTTTGCCCACCAGCAAATATTCGTGAAGTCCGTGCACGACAACGCACACTCGAACGATTTATCTTCTGATGGTGATTGTTCGAGAGCAACACCCGTCAAGTTCAACTTCTCGACGACGATCTAGGAATGTACCGTACGATGAAACTCTCATGAGAACCCTTTATTCCCGACTCGTGCTTATTCTCCCCCTCCCCGGTGTTTTCCATCGGGGTTGGGTTTTCGTCGCTTGGCAACGACGTCGTAAAACAAGCCAATTTCACTTGGTGAACCCGGCAACCAGGTTACGTTTTTTTTTTTACCTCCGTTTTTTTTTTGGGTGGTAACCATAATGGTGGTCGAGCAGATCATGTTGTGCGGGGTGGAGAAGCCTCACTCCGCGCAAGGGGGATGATCGCACCACGTTGTGTTCACATGGTCAAGCACCCTCGAGTCAGTTACACAGCAGTGCTTACAACTGTCTATGGACGTGAAAGCACCAGAAAATAAAGTAAGTCATACGCAGCTGTCATCCGTATGCAAGGAAGTAAGCACAAGACGCCGAACACCCTTAGCAGGATGCAGCGCACCCTTCATGCGACTCGCCGAATATCTCACGGCGCTTCGCGCTTGGTGCTGTGAGAGTCTGGTCCAGTGAGAACCCGGCGTGCACCGTCCCGGCTTTGTAGGGATGCGAGGTCAATGGTCTAACGACTACGGCATGCACGACTATGAGTANGAATATCTCACGGCGCTTCGCGCTTGGTGCTGTGAGAGTCTGGTCCAGTGAGAACCCGGCGTGCACCGTCCCGGCTTTGTATGGATGCGAGGTCAATGGTCTAACGACACGGCATGCACGACTTTGAGAACCCCCCCCCTTCCCCCAACGAGTTCTGATCCCCAATCAGGTGTCCGTTGCTGTAGCGTACAAAAGTATTGAAGATCGGGTGAAGCGCTCTTAATAGATTTTGCACCCTTTGTTTCATAAATAAAAAAACATGTCCCCGCAATCCGCTGCCGTTATCGACACACCTACCTTCCTGTTGTAAACATCATTCCGGGAAAAACAGGAGGAGGAGGAGGAGGAGGAGGAGACGCCATCCCCCGTAGAGGACATCGAAGAGACACCGCAGCCGACTCCGGCGGAGGAAGAGGCGGAGGAAACCCCTACGCCGGTAGAGGAAACACCGCCCCCGGTAGAGGAAGTCGAGGAAACGCCCGCGCCGGTGGAAGAAGTTGAAGAGACGCCGCGGCCGACTCCAGATGAGGGGGAGGAGGAAACGCCTGCGCCGGCAGGGGAAACGCCGTCCCCGGTGGAAGAAGTCGAGGAGACACCGCAGCCGACTCCGGCGGAGGAAGAGGCGGAGGAAACGCCTGCGCCGGTAGAGGAAACACCATCCCTGGTAGAGGAAGTCGAGGAAACGCCCGCGCCGGTGGAAGAAGTCGAGGAAACGCCGCAGCCGACTCCAGAGGAGGAGAAGGAAACGCCATCCCCAGTGGTAAGTGTGGTCGATGGCCCGTACGCACTTAACTTGAAAATCATTATTTGGTTTCTTGCGACAGCTGTCCATCCATTTGGACTAAACGCCGGTGCTTCGGGACGAATAGTGGTACAATCGCTTGCGACATACGTTCACGACAAGCGCGCGCGCGCGCATGTGTGGACGTGTGCAGTATACTCTCGACCGGCGTTCGGTTGGCGTTTAAAGCTGCTCCGTTCTGTCCGCCACGGACTCTCGCGAATGAGAATCTCCCGGCAAATCGTTCATGAAGTCTTGGTTGTCCTTCCATTTTTATTTTTTTTTGTGGCTATCTACCTGCTGTCGTACATGTGATTGGGCGAGGGTCGGGAAAGGGACTCCTTGCGTGTGTTCGTTCGACAACGCATTGTTTTGTTGTTGGAAATGTTGGTCACCAAATTTTTCGCGAGTCGCACATGTTCTTTCACTGCGCCGCACAAGCGCCAGGATAAACGTCGTACAGTACTGTTCTTGGTCAGGCAGCCCCAACCAACACGATCTGAGCAGGTCGGGTCCGGTCTGTTTGTTTGTCTTTCTTTTGGGTGCCGTTTGCCGGAGTCTCGACCGCTGCTGCCACTGCCACGCTTTTCTCCCTCGAACTCGACGTCCCACTTTTCCCATGGCTGCATGGATGGAAATGACGATCAGCGTGTCACCAAAGCTGTAGGACATGGACGTTACACTCTACATGCGTTGCCACGCCGTAACGGAGCTGGATTGATTCAAAGTCGGTTGAGCTATCTGCCGCGGGCGCCTCCGGTTTTGTTTTTTTTGCCTTGAACTTTTCCACACGCCCCGGTTCGCCCAAAAACTGCGAAGGACTTGAACAACCGCCGACAGCTGTTCTGTTTCCTCTCCCTCTTTCTTACACGACGCTACAAGCGTCAACAAAGAATGTACCTCGAACGGGTAGTCTTTCTTTGATTTTGAAAAAATTGATCAAGAAAAATCTTCCTCGTCCTTTCTTTTCCCATTTTTCATTTCCGCGTTGTTTTTCCCGACCACCCTCGACGATTGCCCCTCGAAATAAACGCAGGAGGACACAGAGGAGGAAGAGGCGGAGACCATAGCGCCCGAGGCTGCTACCCTGGAGCCCGCGGAAGCGGCGACGCCTGCGCCAACCCAGGCGGAAACCCCGGAATCTACGGAGCCGGCCACGCCGGAGCCCACGGTGCGATGGACATACGCCCCCGCGGACCCTTGGACCGAGTCGCCAGGTGCGTTGCGGTGTGTTGTCGGCGGTTGCGATGTATCGTCGTGAATTGCGCTGCTGCGATGTTGGGGTGCCCCCCAACGATGTATCGGGAGGCTTCTGATCCAGTAGAATTTTGAGTCTGTGGAAAATCGCGATTCACGTCTACTTCGTATATATATTTGTATTTTTTTCCAACCAATCGTCTTCTACAGCTCTTCAGAACGTGAACCTCGCGAGCAGTTCTTGCCGGGAACAGTCCCCGCGGGATTCTCGTGAGTCTTTTTTTGTGTGTGTTTTTTTGTGGCGGCCGTTGTCGGTCCTATGCACTAAACGCACCGTGGAATGCACCGACCGGGCGGGGTTGTCTCGCTGACTTTCGAGAAGAGTCTGGCGCCGATGCTGATGCTCGTGCTGTCTTCGCTGCTTCCCACAGCAGCGTTTTCAATCTTTGGTCGTTTTTCTGTCGTTGGTTTTGTCTCCCCTGCATCTTCCGCCGGCAACGCCCCCAAGACGACGGACAGTCGACAAGGGTACTTTTTTTTTCACATTTAATATCATGCGTGGCCGATGAGACGCCGCCCTTTGATCACGCAATCATGGTCGAAACCCCACGGCCAACCGCTGCCGAATTGCAAGGAACAAACCGTCCGTCCCCCCCCCCCCCCCCCCCCCCCCCCCCC